GAAATAAAAGCCATCCAAATTGGAAAGAAACAAGTAAAACTGTCATTATTTGCAGATGACATGATATTGTACATAGAGAACGCCAAAGATTCCACCAAGAAACTACTAAAACAAATATGAATTGAGCAATGTAGCAAGACACAAAATCAATATTCAGAAATCAGCATTTTTAATATACCAATAATGAACTAACAGAAAGGGAAATTAAAAAAAATCCAATTTACAATTTCTTCAAAAAGAATAAAATCCCTAGGAATAAAACTAGCCAAGAATATAAAAGACCTATACTTGGAAAATTATAAGACACTGAAGGAAGAAGTTGAAGAAGATACAAATAAGTAGAGGCACATACTGTGTTCATGGATAGGAAGAATTAACATCATTAAAATGTCCATACTGCCCAAAGCAATCTATAGATTCAATGCAATTTTTATCAAGATTCCAACGATGTACTTCACAGAACTACAACAAATATTTCAAAAATTTATATGGAACCACAAAAGACCCCGTATGGCAATAGTGATCCTGAGAAAGAAGACCAATAACCCAGATTCCTAGATTCTGTTCTTAAAATTCTGATTTAATGTTGGCGGGGGACTGGGAATCTGAAAATCTACATTTCTAAATAGCTCCCAGCTGATGCTGATGGCCTGCAGATGACACTCAGTCACACTGTCCTAAAGGATTTCTCACTGTTTCTATGATAAAATCCAAAATTCTTAGCATTACTTTCAGGTTCTATGTGAGCTTCTTTACTTCTTTGCATTCATCTTCCACCATGTTCGTCTCATTCCTGGTGCTTGTTTTGATGCTATGCTATGTCCTGAAATCTGAATCTCTCTGCCTGGCTGATTCCTACTCCTCCTTCAACACTCTGATCATTTATTTATTCTATTGAGGGTCCACAAACTCAGGTATGCAAGAAATTTATTTTTTCAAAAATTGAATTTAATTTTTAACTTCTAATAGAAACTAAATGTAAATGTGAGTAAGCTTAGTCAGTTCAGAACCTCCACCATATCTTCTTGCCCAGGCTGTATCAATGTTTGAAGGGACCTAGGAATTTCCAAGGTGCCAGACAGTAGGGTCTCAGTTATCAGCATCCAAATATGTTGGCATCTGCCATCTCTCCACATTCTCGTACCCAGCTGGCACTCAAGTGCTGCTGTGTCCTACTTGTTCCAGGAAAAAAAGGTATCTTTAAGTAGGACAACAATCCTACTTTGCCCAGGAATTAGGGGTTTCCCAGGATGTGGGAGTTTCAACACTCAAATCAGGAAAGTCTTCGGCAAACTGGGATGATAGTTCACCCTATCTCTAAATCCAGCTCTGTATCGATGTTTCTCTGCAGGCTATAAGAAACATTTGAAGTTCTTTCAGCACTGGCATTGAGGGAATTCTAAGACTAGAGGCTTTCTGTCTAGACACTCTACCTCTATTCTAGGGCTTCTGGTCTATCTTAGACACAGGTGATCTTTATAAGCTTGTTACCTTCTTCGGCTTTTTTGAGGAAGAGAGAAATTTGTTCCCTTTGGTCCTGGATTCTCCAAATTTACTGGGATGTTATCATTATGAATACACTGGGCTACAAATAATAGACAACCATACTACATTGAATTATATGTTAGGTGTTTGGTTTCTCCAATCGAAGTCCAGATAGCCCTTGACAGTCTTGCTCAGTCGATTGGAGTGTCGACCTGTCACCAAAGGGTTGCAGGTTTGATTCCAGGTCAGGGCACAGGCATAGGCTGTGAGTTCCAACCCCAGTCCAGGCACGTGTGATCCTGCTCTAGGCATGTATAATCCCTGGTCTGGGCATATATGGGGGCAACTGATCAATACTTCTCTCTTGCATTGATATTGCTCTCTCTCTCCCCCTTCCTTTCTCTCTAAAAAGCAATGGAGTATCCTTGGGGGAAGGTAAAAAAAAAAAGTCCAGAAATAGGTAATCCATGATTAGGATGGTTACTTAAGACTATGTTTAACTTCCTGCTCTGCCACATGATTTTAATTCTCATAGTTGCTATATGACTATTTTAACTCCAAGACTATGAATTCAAGGATTTCTCCTTTTATCTTTGTAGCAGAGGAAGACGGGGCATAAGGGTTGGAATGTTTGAGTATTGTATAATGTACCGCAGGTATAAGCACCAAGGTCTAGTTCTCTTGCTTTTCTTCTAATAATCCTCAACTGATGTTTATTAGTATTAGAGATGGTGGGTTGGGCTTCTGAAAATTAAAATCCAAAAACTAGCATCATTGTTATAGTATGTTCTGTTGTCGCTATCCTTCCCTGATACACAGGATGTCTCATGTCTCATTAAACATCAGGAGGAAATACCTGTTGGCTAAAATATTAAAATATTATCCTACTTCTATTCATGCAACAAATGTTTATTGAGTGACCATTGTGTTCTGGGCCCAGTGCTAGGCCCTGAAGACTCAATAGTGTGCCAGACATCTAGGTATCTGTTCTCATAGATCCTATAAACAAAATGTTAGGCGTATCATTAAAAGTATGAAGAAATCGAGGTTACTTTGGAAAGTATCATGAGCGTAGCCTCCCCAAGGAGGTGATATGCAAGTTAGTATCTGAAGGATGAGATTGAGTTAGCGATGAGAAACGCTGAGAGTAGAACATTCCAGATAGAAGAAGCTATAGTCAAGGGCCTAAAGTTTTATTCGAAGCTGTGCTCCTTCCAGAAACTCTAGAAAAAAATCTATTCCTGATCTCTTCCAGCTTCTGGTGGTTGTCAGTATCCTGTGGCTTGTGCCTGCGTCATTCCAATCTTTGCCTCCTTGGTCACACTGCTTCTTCTTTTGTGTGTGTAGCATCTCTTTCTGATTTCTTCTTATGAAAGTATTTGTGATTGCCTTTAGGGGCCACCCAGATAATCCAAGATAATCTATCTGAAAATGATTAATTTATCATATCTAAAAATACCCTTTTCCAAATAAGGAAACATTTACAGGTGTCAGATGTTAGGACCTGGTATCTTTGAGGGGGGCATTATCAATCTGCCACAATTTACATTTATATTTACCCACTTTGCTCAAAACGGTGTCAAACTCCCTGGCTGGTGTGGCTCAGTAGATAGAGTACCAGCCTGCGAACCAAAAGGTCCCTGGTTTGATTCCCTGTCAAGGCACATTCCTGGGTTGCAGGCCAGATCCCCAGTAGTGGGTGCATGAGAGGCAACAACCCATTGATGTTTCTCTCCCTGTCTTAACAAAAAAAGGGAGGGGGGGAAAAAAAAACCCTGTGCTAAACTAAATTATCGCAATCAGTGAATATTTGTAATACTTTAAAAATGCCAATGTAAGCTAAGCCTGAAAAATTATTTTATTATTAAAAATTATTTTATTTTACAATAAAAAATTTTAACTGTTTTTTATTCAGTGATAAATGCAAAGTAATACGTGTAGATTCTAAGATGATCAAGCTATTAAATGATCTGGGATCTGTATCATTTGAAGACAGATTGCAAGAATTAGCTATTTGAAATTAAAAGAGAAGGTTTAAAGGAAGATCACATAGCTTTCTTCATTCATATGAAGATGTTTCACAAGGAATAGAGATTAGATACATGCTGGGTAGAATGAACCAGAAACAATCGCAGACAAAGAGAGGCAGATTTCAATTCAATACGAAGAACAATTCAGAACAGACAGTGGAAGGTGCCCCTTCAAAATGAATTCTCTTTCTAATTCTGAAAGTATTCATGAATATGCAAAGACCCTAAAAGGAAGAGTGCCGATAGAAGTAGAGAATATATCCTCCGATATAATCATGAGTATATTTAACAAAAACATTAAGGCTCTTTAATGACTGATTTTAAATAAATCTAGGTAATGTTATCCTTAAAAAAAAACCTTCACCTGAGGATATGTTTACTGATTTTAGAAAGAGAGGAGGGGGGGAGAGAACACCCATGTAAGAGAGAAACATCGATCGCTTACCTCCTGTAGGTGCCCTGGGATCGACTGCACAACCTTTTTGCGGGGGAGCTGGTTGGAGTGTTGTCCTGTACACTCCAACCGAGCCACCAGGCCAGGGCAATATTATCCTTCTTAATTCATTTTCCAAATTACAGTAAAGCCAGAGTGACCTTTTAAAAGTCAAATCTGATTATGTCAGCCCCCTTGATTAAAATCATTCTTTCTTTGAAAGATCCTCTCAATATTGACCCCTGGCTTCTTTTCCTGGCTCATCTGATGCTCTTTTCCTTCCTCTTTGCATTCTTGCATATTGCTTAACTTTAGATACTTGCTCTTTCCTACCACAAGGCTGTTGCATGATGTTCACTCTGCAAAGCTCTCCTTCTCTGCCTAGGTTACTCCAGTTGGGTCCCCATATAAGTTTTCAACTTATTCTGAACTGTATTGTTAAGAGGAAAGAATTTATTATATATATTTTCACCATGTCTGTCTTCCCTGCTAAAATGTGAGCTCTTGATGACAGACATTGTATCTTGTTCAGCACAGGACCTGGACACCTTCAAATATTTGAGAGAATGAATGGACTATCTGGTTCCAAGTGGAAAAAGAAGTCTGGTGGGAAAAAAAATATTTCCCTAACTGATACCAGATTTCTAGTAGCAAATTTTCAGAAACACTAGTATGGTTTTCTTGGAAGAGTGTTTTTCATGAAAGAAAGGGGAGGTGGATGAGGAAAGTTAAGCAATCAACGAAGAAGCCAGGTCTACCAAGGTAGAGTCACTTTGGAATGTCAGAAGCCTCATGGACAACAAAAGCTGGGGCGCCAAAGTATAGTGGCTTTAGCTGTATCATTTATGTATTCATTGTTCACTCATTCATTCCCAAATGTTCATAAAATGCCCATTATGTGCTTACTGCTTGGCCTCAGAAACTCAAAGGTGGGCAAGTCTTTCCTGTCCTTAAATCTACAGCCTAAGAAGGACAAATACTCAGCAAAGTAATTCCCAGGAAGTGTGGTAAACACTGCTAAGGATGGTACATCCGTGTTATGAAATACCTACCTTGGGGGGTAGAGTAGGAGAGGGATGGAAGAAAGAAGGAGAAAGATGGGTGGTCAGGAAGCCTTTCCGGTTTAAGCTGAGACCTGAAAGATGAAGAGGAGACTTATCGGTCTGGGGAACGAAAAGAAGCTCACTAGTTATGATTTGGGGTCCCACAGAAAAATACTATCAAGGTATTGAAGGGCACCTTGGCAGTTTAGCTGACAGGGACGCTGATGTGAGAGCGGTCATCAGCCTTGCGAATACTCCCTAAGCAAGAACGATAACGTCCTGTACTTCGACATTTCACCTAAGCTGAACTTGCCTCAATCTACTCATTCCTTGCTCCCCAAGGCTCCCACAAAATGTGGTGCTGGCAACCCACCTCCACGTACAGACTGCACGTAACACCTCCCAGCGGAGCCGACTCAGTCTGGGGATGAGAAGCCCCGCCCACGCCCAGGCACGTCCTCCTGGGCCAAGTTCCTGGGGCCGCCCGCGGTCGCGGCGGTCACGTGACCCGAAAGTGTGACGTAGGAGGAAGGAGACGCCATTAGAGAGAGGCGGAGACGGAGTGTTCGTCGCCTTTCGTCGGTTTCCTGACGTGGTTGCTGGGGCCCTTCATTCTCGGACTTTCCTTGGGTCCTTCGAGACCTCGCCCCAGCAGGCAGTGGAGGCAACGCCGGGTGTCGGCGAGCCAGTGCCAAGGGCTGCGACTGTGAAGGCGCTGCGGCGGCTGCGGGGAGCTCGGCGCTGCTCTAGGGTGCGGGTGGCCGGGAAGCTACGGGATGGCTGCGGCCGGCGGCGGGGCGGCAGCGGGCCGAGCCTACTCGTTCAAGGTGGTGCTGCTGGGGGAAGGTTGCGTAGGGAAGACGTCGCTGGTACTGCGCTACTGCGAGAACAAGTTCAACGACAAACACATCACCACTTTGCAGGTGCGGGGCCCATTGAGCGGGAGGTGGCGCCCGAGGGCCCCTACCTGTCCGGGGCCGTGAGGACTCTGCTGCCATGGTATTCTGGATTGGGGTTTACAAATCTCAGGCCTGGCACCCCCGCCTTCTAGTTGCCTTTGCTTCCAAATTTGCCCTGGAGACGAGAGGAGTCGGGGCAGCCTGTAGACGTATGGACGGGCTGTCGGGAGGGGAGTGGAAAGACCCGTAAAAGTCCCCAGTGCCCTGGCTGGCAAGTCTTGAGTCCCCACCGCTGGGCTAGTTTCCCCCCTTCGTTTCACTTCCGCTTGGGGCCTAGGTGCCCTCACCCTGCAGTCACCAATTTGCCTTTTGTTCCCCCCCGGAATTAGGAACTTGGCTGTAGATTTGATTTTGCGAACTAGGTGATTTGTAACTTTAGTGCCTACTGATGACTAAGTGTTTATGTAAATTCAGTTTGTCCTGTCTTCCAGTAACGTGCAGATTGGCAAAACATTCATTTCTTGAGGGATTTTGAAATGACCGCTTGCCGGTGTGTGTTACGCAGTTTCATTGCTGCCTGCGTGGTTCTGACTTTTGGGTCAGTTATACTCTGCGAGGTCGGTCGACCCACATTCACACGGAAATGTCATTTGAATACCGGCTAACAATTGGTCCCCAAAGTAACAGCATTGCTGCTGCTGCTGCTGTTGCTGCTGCTGTTTATTTGCCCCTGATATAGAGCGGACTTTCTTCTGTAGTTACATTGTGCTTACTCAGAAAAGTGTTAGAATGTAATCATTGCTTGGGACGAAAACCAGTCCTTTGAGGCAGGAGTAAATCTCCCCTCTCTCCCAAAGAAATCAGGTTGCACGTGTTAGAAGAAAAATATCCAACTAATCTGACTTGATGTATGTTGTCAGAAACAGCAGAATCTAGTGGACTTTTGTCTAGGTTCATATCCCACCTCTATCCTTTTAACTAGTTGTATGATCTCGGGCAAGTTAATTAATCTGACTCTTAAATTTCTTCATCTGTTAAAATGGCCACAATAAGACTGATTTTCTAGCTCATAGGGTTGTCAGGACAAATACACATAAAAGTGACTAGGACCTGCTCCAGTGTAAGCCCTCCATCTTTATTATTACTTCCCCAAATTGCACAACAGATCTTAATTAATGATTGTGGAGTGTGTAAAGAGCACGAGCACTTAATTGAATTCACAATGTTCTAATTGTGACATTTGATGCTTGATGCTATTATTAAACTGCGGAGTATAGAATTTGCAAAGATGCTTCAGTTCTGATTCCATGTTCTATTTTTTACTCCTGGGTAAAGCATAATATTTGAAAAAGTGAATGCCAGGAAATTCCTATTTTCCTCTTACATTCTTGTACAAGACCAGTTACACAGTTTTACTAGTGAGTTTTTATTGTTGAGTGCTACTAGTGAGATTTGTAGGGTAAATAACATCTCTCTGATCATTCGAAAGTTTAGGAATTTATTTAGGTAAACAGCATAGCTAACATCAAGTTCTTAATATGCTGAATACTTTTGTCATTTCATTCTTGTAACAGCTATGAGGTGGACAGTTTTGTTAACACCATTTTATAGTTGAGGAAACAGGCTCGGTTAAGTTGAGTAATTTACTGGGCATATTATTGCCACAAGTCATGCTGCCCAAGCTGAAATTTGAACAATTTTTGAGCATTTTAGTCACACGCCTCTGGATATTGGTAAACTACTCCTTTAATGGTTTCCTTTGTGCTACAGATCTAAGATAAAAGAGAATGCCATTGTAACTGAGCTCTCAATTAAAAAAATAATTTAGCCCTTCAGCCTAAAAAATTATACTTTTATTATATATTCCAAAAACACTCTCAAAGGTAAAAGTAGGCTCAAGATTTTTAAATATCTGAGAAAAACCACCTCTGGAGACTGTCTGTAGGAGGTCCACTCACATCCGAGTCAACTCCAGGAAGAGGTCCCAAAAGCCCCGCCCGTGTCCAGGCAGATTTTCTTTACCATATCCCACAAAGTCTGCACAAAGTCCTGTGCAATCTACACAGGAGAGGATGAAATTATGGTAGATCTCCAGTATCAGAGCATAGGAGTCTGGATGTTGATGTTTATATATTTGGATTATATTACAGAATTGAGGATTTTGTTGTCTCCCAGTGTATGGAAACAGTATTATATCTAACCTTTTTCTCTTAGATATCAGTTCATCTCATCTCATCCTAACAGTTCTTCAGAGACATTTGGCTTCCTTGTGATCCATAAAACACATTCTTGTATGCTTTTAATTTCCAAATAGATCACACATCAGAAGATAATGACAGGAAGTTCCCCTTTTCTTGTCAACAAACTACTTATTATCTGTCTTTGTAAAATTTGTGTTTTGCAAAGTACACTCATACATTCATATTTGAAAGAATTATAGGACTGAGAGAAACCTAAGATAGTTCATGGTTCTCTAGTCTTTTGTGTAATATTTCAGTCAAGTGATTGTCCACTTTTGTCTTGGAGGTGTGATGAACTAATATGGAAAATGGAAAACTTTGTCCTGAGGGGGCCTGTTTTATTTTTAGACAGGCCTAATTTCCAGTAAGTTTTTTTTTCTGTGTGCAAAGTGAAAATAATGTGTTAACCTGTAGTTTGCACTCCTAGTTCTGCTGGCAAATCTTGGTTGCACACGACATCCTTTCTAATAGTTGAAGACTGCTATCATAGCTCCTTGAGTCTTGTCTTCTCTTGAATAAACAGCTTTGGTTCCTTTAACTGGCTCTCCTGTGATATTGTTCTCAACCATTTCAGTATTTTGATATCTTTTCTAGACACTCACTGTTTACTCATTGTCCTCTTTCCTTAATTATGTGTTGCCTTCAGCTGTAGCAGTGATTCCAAGGGAGGTTTGAACTGAGCAGAAAAGTGCAGACTATCACCTCCCCTTTTGAGAATCCTTTTCTAACACTGAAGTAGAGAAGATTCTGTGATCTTTGGGTCAGTTGTCACACTGATTAATATTAATGTCACACTGCTATCTTGGTGTTACTTGCTTTAAAAAAAGTGTTTTACATCTCTGAAATTTTTTTTCTTGGAGTTTGTAGTTCAGTGTTTGTTTGCTTCCTTGTTTTTGTTCCTAACATGTTTGACCCATTAAATTTGACTTCGATAGACTTGGTTGGATCCTGGGCATGCAAAGAAGAATAAGGCATGGTCCCTCCCTACTGTCCGGATTAGCTATTCATTTTAACTGTAGATTTAACTGTAGTGTAGATCACCTGAAGATTTGGTAAAAATCTTTAATGTCTCATCAGGTCATTGATAAAAAGATTTTGAAAGAAAGGGGAGAGGGCCGAGTACAAGCTCTGCAGCAGGTCTTACTGTAGCCCAGTGATGCATTGCTAGAAATGTATTTTTCTGTAGACATTTTGAATCTTCTTAAAATTAATTAATTTTTAAAAGGTTTTATTTATTTGCTTTTAGAGAGAGGAGAAGGGAGGGAGAGAGAAACATCAGTGTGAGAGAGAACATTGATTGGTTGTCTCGACTGGGGCCCAAACCTGCAACCCAGGCAAGTGACCTGACTGGGAATGGAACCTGGTGGGATAATGCCCAACCAACTGAGCCACACTGGTCTTGGCTAGACATTTGGAATATTAGAATGGGGCTTTTTCAGACTATGAATAGGCCACAGTCATCTTTCACCTTAAGTGAGAAACACTTATTAATGGAGTATTGAACATATTAATGATAATGGAAGCAAAAAACAGCTTAAGACTTACTTCTGTGGGCTACTGCCTGATGTATACAAAACCTTTAATGAAAATGGTTGTTCTAGCATTACAAATCTCCTAGCTTTTTTGTCCTATAGCTACATTAGTTTTGCCCACAGGGGATATCACAAGATGCTTTGTCAGATTGTTGCAGAAGACAAGATAGCACTGTGTTTCTGCATTAGGAGGCCATATCATGTGGTAAAAAGGGAAAAGACTTTGAAGTTAGATTTCAGTTTGAACTTTAGAAGCCACGGATGGGATGCAGGCTTGGCCCTCGAGTCATGAATTATTTTTGGTAGATGCTCTTTTTTATTTTCTCTAGTCAAAAACAATAACTTAATCTGGGAGTCCCAGTCCAGAAGTTTTCCCCTGAAAAAAATCAGGATAGTGTGGCAAACATGTAAGAAATCTTGCCCAGCATCCATGCTTAAGGAAGCTGTCCCATATTGTACGACTGTGATGATATCTATCTATCTATCCATCTATCTGAGATTTTATTTCTTTTAGAAAGGAGAAGGGAAGGAGGAGAAAGGGAGAGAAACATCAGTGTATGGTTGTCTCTCAAGCGCCCTGTACTGGGGACCTGGCCTGCGACCCAGGCATGTGCCCTGACTGGGAATCAAACCGATGACCCTTTGGTTCTCAGGCTGGCGCTCAATTCATTGAGCTACACCAGCCAGGGCCATAATGATATCTTAAGCAAGGCTCATTCCTTTGAGTCAGTCTCATGCTTTGTAACCTCTGAGATACTCCCCTGACAGCCCCAATCCCTGAACTTAACCTATAGGAAATTGCTGCGTTTTCTCCTGGATATGAAATTTCAACTTCTTTCTGAGTTTCTTGCGTCAAGCTACCCATCCCCTGTCTCCCTACCCCGTTCTTTATATATTATGCTACACTAGTTGTCCTTGCATTTAATGGCAACAGCTCCCATTTATTGAAGTCTTCTCTGAGAGGAAGTTTAGTCTGAGGTTAAAACAATGGCCCTGGGGCAAACCTGAAGTTAGACTTTGGTTTGAATTTTGGCTTCTAGTTATAGCCATCAGGATGTTGGTTATTCTAATGTTTGTAAGCTGGTTCTTTTTAATAAAATGGGAGAATCTCAGTCATAGGATTTTTATGTGGATTAAATAGAGAGCCATCGTGTATAAAGCTCCTAGCACAGTGCCTGGTGCATGTTTGTTTAATTAGTGTTTGCTGTTGAATGAATAGGTGGTACTTAATTTGTGTTGGATTCTTGTGTAG